ATAAAAGATTAGAGTGGTAGATTGGCTTGTGAGATAAAAGTTACTTCTCCTGAATTGTCTTACGCTGATTCAAGGATATCGTAAATTGAGAAAATTACTCTTTCGTTTTTATTAAGGTTACCTTTAGCTACTTTTTTTCCTCGATTATCATCAAGCACAAAATACAGAATGGAATCCGTGAATTTCGCCGTAATATACGGTTAATGGAAGCGATACGGGGTTTCTGTTCGTTGAAAATGACGGCGTATCTTCGTGAACCACACGCTATTTCGTAAATCGACCGAACTGTCGTTCGCACGATTGACATACACACAGGGGTGTGCGCGCGCGTTACGCTATTACGCATCTATTCTCTCTTCCCGGTCAATGCTCTAGGCGATCTAGAACGGTGGCTAGAGCAAATCGAAACGAGCCACAGGGGCCGGATAGGGTCGCTGCTCTACGCCCGGGGAGAAAGTCGATTGGCTACGTGCCAGCCACGTGCTGATAAAGAGATTACAAACAGGAGCAACGCCTCTGCAACGAACTTTCTGCGTTCCCGGCGTGTTCGGAAGCGAACAAGTTGCCAGCGATTTCACATACCGCGCGTTCGCGATATATAATTTCGCGTATTTTACACTAAAATGATTATTCGTACATCAGTAGACTTTCACGCCGATCACTTAAAACTTTAAATGGAGCGCCGTTCTTTTATCGTTCAGGATAGTTTTTGAAATTTATTGGCGCGATGCAAAAGCGACACAATTTTTTGCCAATACCGTGCATGCATAATCGATTTCCTCGTAAGGTGATTGCATTTGAGAGGATGCGTTTGATCTCGTCTTGGAATTTAAAAAAGTTACGAATTAATTTTTATGCAGATGTTTTACACAAAAGAGAATAGCGACTCCCTCGATATACGCTAGATCCAATATATACGACATGCATATGAAACGATAAGAAAGATATTTATTAGATATAAAAATCGTTGTTGCACGGAAAGAACAATTTTGCTGAAAGGGCAAAATTGGATCTGAAAATAATTTTGTTGCACGAAAATCAAAATAATTTTGTTGGAAACTCAAAAATGATAAGCATTGCTATAAAATATTTTGATATTTTAGCAAATCAGTTTGACTTTCCAACAAAATTATTTTGATTTCCGTGCAATAAAATTATTTTCAGATCCAATTTTGATTTTCCAGTAAAATCGTTCTTTCCGTGTAGAAATTATTGTTAGATATAAAAATATTATTTCAAAATTAGGAGATACAATTAAAAGATAAAATTAATTGTTTTATTCATGGCATATTACTCGAATATAGGTATACTATATTGTGTGTCGAAACGAATTCACGTGTCCTATCGTGCGTGAAAACGTCTCACCGTTATTCGCCTCCTTATAACGTTGATCACACGGATGATCTCGCGTGATCAGCACAGCGATTTTTTTTTTCTCAGACGACGACCGGAGCGCGACATCAATTGAGCGCGCAAGCACGTGGTTGGTCGCACGCCAGTAGGCAGTTATGTTTATAACAACGTATGACAGATCCCCGCGGTATTTTGCCTCGTAACGGCGATACTATGCATGAGCTATAGGACGTTCGTGACGACGGAGAGATCTTGGACGCTCGACGCGTCGGATGTTACGCAGAGAGATCTCCTCCTTCTCCTCCCCCTCCTCCTCGGGAGTCTCTCCGCTTGGCCGTTCGCCCGGGCGGATTCTTACTCCGCTTATTCGCGTGGTATTCTTTTTCGGCGGCTGGTTCAGCCGCATTTCGCAAGTCACGGACGCGACACCACGGCGACGAATAATTAACGAGCGATCGTCGGCGATAAATCATTAAGCTCGGCGGCGCGGCGCGGCGCGCTCGAATTGCGCTCGTCCGCGAATCCGCATAACGGTGAACGCGTGTCGTTCCGGCTAGACGCTTTTCCTCGTGTACTACAAAATCTATTGAAAGTAGGTGTCTCCAGCCGTTTGCATCCGTAAGCGTGTCAGATCCGGACGCGATAAACGCGAGATAAATGTAAATGTTTAATACATAAAGTTAAAGGGAATCGAAAAAAAAATGTATGTCCAACGACAGAAAATCTATTAGTTTTACTCTCAAAGATATATTCTTTTTTTCCTTAACACAATTTGACTAGCGGTATATAGGCTTGTGTTTTACTGAAGATGACATGCATTTTTAATTCATATCGCACGTTCAACGTTCTTGCAGTAATTGCCGCCCAGCGGCAAGAAGAATAGACGTTCATTAAAACCGCCGTATTCATTACGAGTTCATTATTCAGCGAGATGTCCCCGCGAGTTTGAAGAAGGTACAATGATATTAATCAGACGGTACACGCTAATGGCCGTAATAACAAACACGCTGGTCCGTAACGACGTCGAACGGAAAAGAATTAAAAGGCTGTTACAACTGGCAATAAGCATTCCATCAATTTTTTATTTGACGATAAATTATTCATATTTAACACTTCTCTCAACGGGGAGCAAGGGGGGGGGAGGAACAAGTAAAAACGCTTGTCAATTCCGTTGCATATTCCTTATATATTATTTAGCGATTCACTCCGTGAACGCGATACGCCTCGAATGTCTCGGCTTACGCGTAATACCAAGTGGCAGCCGTCTTTGTCACCTTTGCCATTCAGGCTAATTTTGTATCCAGATCATTAGCGATGCACACACGCAGATTCGTATACAATTGGATGAGCTTCTCGTTACGCGTTCTCTCTGTTCACATTTTTCGTCTTCTCGCACTCCGTACTTGAGTCGATACTATGTATAATAAATGCTACACGTCGAAAAACGTAATTTAATAATGTTGAAAGATTAGTACATTTGTAAGAACTATCTTTTTTTATTATTTTTTTTCATGAATTTTTAATCGATCTGTTTTAGTAAAAATGTAGAGTTAACTTTAACGTTTACATGCTCGACTTTTGACATAGCTTGTTTTAAAGGGAACTTCGAAATGTTACTCTAACTGACACGCAGTTATTGATTAAAATCCAACGTATAATAAGTTCTATTTTTCGACAATTTTTTTATTTCTTGTTTTGTGCTTATAAATCGATATTTAATGAACATTTATTTATTGATATAAATAAAAAAATTGAAGAACAATATGGAAAGAACGATTTTGTTTTAAAAAGGTCTAAAAATTTTACTGAATACAGAAAATAATTTTTTGTTGAATTGTCAAAATAATTTGCTGGAATATTAAAACTGATAAGCATTACTATAAAGCGTTTTGATATTCGAGCAATCATTTTGACTTTCGCACATAATTAATTTGGATTATTGAACACAAATTATTTTTATATCTGAATCAAGCAAAATTGTTCTTTCCGTGAAAGAAAAAAATAATTGCATTTACCTCGAAACTAAATTAACCGTTTTTAGATTTGAGTAATAATATATCCAAAACGACGCGACGGGACGAGTTGGACAGTAGATTTTTTTTATTTCTTCGCGAAACGAACTTTTGATTTAAATTTTTTTCTGCTTTCTGTATAACGTATGCAGTTGCTGCCGATATATAAGGTGTTTTCAGGTGTTTTCGAGTCAGACTTCACCGAGTTATCAGATAATCTTGCATTGATAATTGGATTCGCGTGAATACTCGGATTTCACTTGTTTCGCGGTTGTGGAAAATGCGAATGAATTATTTAGCCGCGACAAGCGACACGTCACTCCGACGTACAAATGCACCCCGCTTCATGTTTTATTCACTACGCCCGCTGCGCATTACGCGATATGAAGCGACTAGACGCTTAGGGATTGACATTCGCGCGCGGTTTCACAAGGCGGATTATGTTCGGGAGCACAATGGCGAACCGTGTGTGTTACGGAACGGTTCGCCGCACGGCATGAAAAATAGATAAGTAAACCTCGCCTATAATTTTGCTATGAATCTTCGTATCGATATTTTTATCGAATTCCGACGTATACGTACCGATGTTCGATGATATTTTGATATCTGATTCCTGAGAGTATACTGGCCGTGATAGTTACCACGCTGTTACACACTGTTTTCCGATACGATTGCTGGAGAGAGAAAAAGAAGAGCTTTAGTTTTTCTCAGAGTTTCGGATAAAAATAAGAAAGTATTACTCCAACAGATAACGCAGTTATGATTGAAATCCAACGTGTAATAAGTTCTATTTTTCGACAGAATTTTCATTTCTCGTTTCTCGTCTACAAATCGATATTTAATAAACGTCATCGATCTCTCGGTATAAGTGAAAAAAAAAAGTGAATTCTTTATAAATGAGATATGAAGAAGAAATAATAATAAAACTATATATGTATATGATAATAAGAATACTTAGAGATCATTAGTTTCACTGCAGCTTAAATTATAACATATGATTGAATGTCTCTAATTTGTATCTAGAGATCATTAGTTTCACTGTAAATTGTAATATATGGCCGAATGTCTCTAGATCTCTAACTCGAAGGATTGGGAATGGCAAGTTTTGCTTCCGCGTCCCTTAATTATGCGATTCAGATTGGATCGCAAGAATTCATCTAAGGCCATACGTCACACAGCCCCTAAGGTGTCCCGCTGCACTATTTTCGTCGCTTTGGGTGCCACGCGTAAAAAGACGCGTCCACGCGTATTAATAGACTGACCGAGCACGACGATGCATCCACGGGTGTGACGTCGCGCGCCCCATCGAAATTCGGAGTCGCGAAAACCGCCGCGCAAATTTGTCTTACGCGATTTCCCTATACGAGACGGTAACACGTGTTGCTGCGAGGTGAGCGCCGGGAGGGCGAAGTCGTGCCGCACCCGGGAAATCTGCACTTTCGACTTGCGAGTAGTTACGAGAGAGTGTCGCATTTCCGAGAGAACTTGCCGACCGCACGCGAACCGTGCGGATGGCAGGGCGAATAAATGTCGCTTGGTTAAAGCCATTAACGACGTTCCATTCCGCGCGGGTTTAACGAATTAATCCGTCTCTGAAGAAAAGTTACTAACGCTGCTGCTCGTTTCTTGTTGCAGAATCACGAATATGGCGGGTACGGAGACGAGCCACGTCGGAAAAGGTGAGTTTACATATACCTACATTGTTGGTTCGTGCGAACGGAGTTGTGCCGTAGATTTCAAGATTACGCGGATTATTTACGTGAAATCTACGTGATGTTTAGCATGGTCTTCTTGCTACGTAGACAATCTAGACTTGTAAACTATGTAGACTATTGTAAATTGTATCATTAATATATACAATATAAAAAAAATTAAATTATAAAGCAGTCTCTACCCACAGTAGAAGTGTCCAAAATGTGTCTAGGAACAGGCTAAAGATACCATGACATCTTTAAGATATACTTGATGTATTTTGAACATTAATTTAATTACGAGATTAAGACTAAGAATGTAACCAGAGAATTTTTCTTACTCGAATGGTAGTTTTTTTGCATATCGTTAAATTATATGTATTTATTAAATGGATAAATATATAGTCTACTGATTGTCTACATAGATGACACTTTATACAATATTTACGTTGTCTACACGTAAACGTAGAGTATTATATTTTACGTGTAGATGCACAACCCTGCGCGCGAACAGCAAAAGTCGTATGTTTGTGCATTCGAAACTAATTATGGATAAGTACACGTGCATCATACGTGTTTTGTCAAAAAAAAAATTAAATATGATAAAATTGGAGTGAATAATCCTTTAATTTATATCTATATACAACCATAATACATATATGTTTATATGCAAAATTAGATTATGATAATTCAAATAAACAAATTTAGGTAATTAAAAGAATTTTGAAATTGTTAGGAAAGTACTTCTATTAATTTGTTTGTCTATTGAAATTGATAAACAAAGCTTTAATTATCAAACCGATGACCAGCAGCTATTATCATTGCAAAACTGTTTCTCGATATTATGCAGAATTTTACACACTTTTTTACATAGAATTATTGTGATCAATGATTACCGAGAACAATTGTGATTGATGACTTAATGACTTTCATTACTGTGTCAGCTCGAATTGTGTAATCAATGGTGCATTATTATACATTTTTCTTATTATTAGATCCATTAACTTTTGCAACGCTTTTAGACAATGAGTTTCGTGATCGGTAGCGTTGTTAGATCGTTTTATAAGATCACTTTATAATGTATTATATACAAATTGAAATCAATCGCACGCAATTTGCTCGTTCAATCGCTCTCAATAAGGCTGTCGATACAATTTACTGGTACAATTTTATACATAAATTATACAACTTTTAAAAGTATCAATATCTTACAAATTGCACTTTTTATTTAAATTGTGATTCTGATATCAGTTATTCTTATATTACACGATTTCTTTAAATTATGTTTGCTCTTTATTTCCGATGGAAATGCAAATACGGTTTCTCGTCCAGAAATACGTTCTTATTTGTGCGCTATTATATCAATGACACGCCATTAAGGGAACGCTCGGGCGTGGAATTGGATGCCTGATAAGCGCCAAGACGCGTTCTATACATCGCGACAGAGCGAAAATTAATTAAAACGACGCAGTCGGTCGTCACGAAGTTTGACCCTACTGCCGCTGTCCTATAGTTCAAGTCTAATAATAAGAAGTTAAGTCGAGCATTAAGCGTGATTCAATCCAGCAGAGGCAATCCGATAGCGTACGATATCTGGCTCCACGAACTCGCGATAACTCCTCGGTAAAGTGAATTCGAGCTGGCGAATCGTTGAGCGGTCGCAGATGTAGATATCAGATATTAGATGGTCGATAAGCAACGAGAATCGAGAACAATGTTGCAAAGCGAAACGATATTTATTTTCTATTTGTCAGAGTTCCACATTTTCAAAATCTACGAAGCTCTTCATTTTCGCGATCGATCGATAGAGAGAGAGAGAGAGAGAGAGAGAGAGAGAGAGAGAGAGAGAGAGAGAGAGAGAAACGTTGGAACGTGAATTGCAGACGTGTATCTATTTCGAGATATCTTATATATGAATAATAAGCCGTATCGCAAACACGTGAACTCGATACAAATAAGCTTCGAATAACAATGATCGTCACAAGTGGTAATTCAATTTGTATCGATCCTCGCAATTGGATATTCCATGCCATTAGCCGATGCAACGGCGCGCGTTTCTCGCTATTTCACTCGTGGAAAAATTACAGCGATTGATTTTTACGTTGGATGCAAGTCACGAAGAAGAGATGTATACACCAATATCAACTGTGAAAAATATATCGCGCGGCGCCCATCACCGGTCGGTTGCCTCACTATACAACATGTGAGCATGTCAAATCTCGGCTGGAGATTACTTCGTTTTTCGCTTTTTTCTCGACCGCGAATGCGAGATACCTATCTTCCTATTCTTGACGTCATAATCCTTTACGCTGTATGATGCACGCGTGCAATACACGTTCTCTCTATCGATCAAAAATATTTTTTGAATTGTGAAGAATTTTCGATGAAATATAAATAATATTTTTATTTGCGTGTGCGTCTGTGTGTATACCTATATATTTATAGATATATTTCAGCTTCCACAATTCAAAGGTATTTTTAATGGCAATTTATTTTATACTGACAGTGTAAAATAAATCAATTCTAACCTTGAAAAGGAAATTCAACAACGAAGTGTGACAAATATTTTAATTTTGCATATGATACATACAGAGATAGTTGTAGATGCTATCGATTCACGTAGAGTCAATGGAAACTGATTTTTTTTCCATCCGCATGAAAACGAAGCCGAGATAATATTTCCAGTTTCAACGGGTGCAATCAATGCGATTTTGCACGACGTCAGCAAGACGTCCGTGCCGCAGTCAACGAAGAATGAATTATTATTGGCGAACTAGTTTTTGCGAACTCGGCGATAATCCAGGCCTTGTTTTCGAGCGGGCTTCCGTAATTGAATTTTCAAATAATTGGAGCGTCTTTTAACGAGGACAAATGATAGAAATTCACGATTTTATCGGTCGCGCACTTATGCCGTAGGGCAAACTTTAATAAAGTTCTCCTGTGTGCGTTCGTTGGAATAATACGTATCAATTAATGTTTCAGAGAAGACAATAATAAACCGAACCACGTCCTCCTCTTCACAATTATCAATCCAGTTTACCCCATCACTGTGGTAAGTCCTTCACCAATTTATTTACGCTAGTACGATCAAGCTTTTCTTTTTTTTTTCTCTCTGTTTCAGTCACGCGTTTACAATTTCAAATCGATATCATGTAAAGAAATGCAAGTCACGTAATTCTTCTAACACACATATATCTTTAAATTTTATGTACAAAAAATGTAATTCATAAATTATTTCTTATTCGATGTTTTGACGTTCACAATTAAGGTAGCACAAGAGAAAGCTGTAAACATTCATAATATATGTCGCCAATGTACGGCAATTGTTTTACGTGCAGTGCATTTCTTGTGTTTTCTTTTTTTCTACATATATTAACTCGGGGTGCCGAGAGTAGTCGGAATGGAAAAGTGGCGCAATTTCGCGCGCGACGCTGACTATAACGGGAATTGAAAATATTGAAGCCAAAGCCGCAGAGAACAAAAGTTGGCAGCACGTCAGCCCCGTAGATTTCACAGGCCGTCGCACTGCATTTTATTTTTGTTTTGCGCCAATAATAGATGAGCTTTGAGCTCTCCCGCCGTTTCTCTCCGCGCGCCGTCCGCGCCGCGCCGGTCGCGGCGCGGCGCGGCCGCGCGGCGGTCGGGTCGATGTCATTCGACATTGTTTGCGCCGCTTCTGTTCGAGCCCCGCACACACAGCTATCCGGTCGCACAAAGCTCGTTTTCTTGCGCCCCTCCCGCGATCGAACCACTAATTAAAGAGACGACTGAAGGCTTCTTGCCCGCGCGATAACCGAAAGCTCTGACAATACTGCGCTATACCGTCGAAGCGTCCGCATTGCAGTGCAAACACGGTGATGGTTCTTGCTTTACGTTGCGAGATACCCTCTTGATCCCATCATTATCAGACATCTAAAATTTTGTGCCCTATTAGGAACAAAAAGCACAGTTATTTCGCTGTAAAGAATAAAAGTAGAAAAAAATGATTATATATATAATCCAGTAATCTCTTCACAACTGCATAATAGCGTTGGTTATATATGGGCGACGATGAGTAAAAAAAAGCTACTGCCAGAATTTCCAATTGTACACAAAATACAAAGTACCTGATGCCTAATTAATATTTATTATAGAGAAGACAGACATTGTTTGTGGCTGCGTAATGGGCAATTTATTTTTAATATGAAGTAAAAATAAAATTTTGCGATGTGTACGTGCGCCCGTTAATTTCGAGCGTGCTAAAACGTGACTTCATATTCCGTTAACGGCTCATCTTCTCAATTTAATTAAAAGCTCATATAGCTAGAGCTTCCTCGAAGGTTTAAACTCAAGCAACGCTCTTAGCTCTTTCTCCGTTCTCGTTTCCTTCCCCTCCCTTTCTCTCTGTTTTTCAGTAGCGCAATTATTCGCCTAACATTCTGCAGTTTACCCCGCCTTGACACTTACAAATTAATTGTCATATCCGCTATCCATTAAAATAAATTAATCGGTGCACTTGCCTCGCCCGTCTTGCGGAAATTATTTTTTATTCTTCCCTTTTCGCGAGGGCCTCTGTATGTTTAATCAGCAAATGCGTTAATCGATATTTCATTTTACTCGAAAACATACGGCCGATTCGATTTCCGGCTTTTTCATCCACTAGACAAATATTTCTCCAGCTAGAATGTTTCGCACATATACGTGTATTTTACGTGGACCGGGATCCGTGAGCATTAATTGGAAAACCGTTATTTTGATAAAACGTAGTAAATTTAGGAAATTTTTAGTTCGGCACGCAATCAAAGACCCCCTGGACGTGTATATTAACCTAACGATGACAGTTGCAGCTGGAAGTAGTCGATGTAAATCTGGGTTATATGCTGGGACTGCCAATATTTCCTCGACACATGGTTGGCGTTATAAGCGAGTTTGCTTTTATGAGGTGCAAGGCAAATTGAACTAAATATCATGTTTATTGCGGAACTTCCCGGATAGAGCTTCCGATCCCGACGTATACGGTCGCCAAGCAATCTATATTTGTCATTGTGTGACGTTTATTAATCCGCTATATGAATTATCGTTCTATCGGCTTATCTTATGCTATAAATTAAGTAGCGAGCATAAAGCCTAGGAGACCAGGGGACTAGTTTTTTTAATTTTTAATTTTAATTTTTTTAATCCACAGAATTTATTTAGCTTACAAAAATGCCAGGAATTAAAATATCAAGCCATATAAAATTAATCAAGCGGAGATAAAATCTTTCAATACGGTAAAACTTTATCGTTATTATTTGTTAAATAAATGTTCCGTAAATGTCTATAAATTATTTGTAACGAGAGCTCTTTTATTGTAACAAAGTTACACCTGTGATGTAATCTTGCTTCAATCAGATATCGTTTGAGACCCGTAAAACAAAATCGAAGTACTTCTCGCGCCGAAGTCTCTCGTGATTGTCGCAACTTGCATCAATCATAGAGATGTGACGCTAATTCGGGTTATTGCGATACAATATTGCGAGTGTGTCGCTACGCCAATACGGTTGCCAATATTTTGCGCCTCAAGTGGCGACGATGGCGTCGGGACGCGCGAGACGGTGCATCTCGTGTCTACTTTATCGCGATGCACGTGTGTCACGAGCAGATAAACGTCAAATGCGGCTAACGATGTGTTCCGTGAATCGCATCGTAACGAATGCGAGGCGAGTATGCGAAATGATTCTGAATAACGTAGATTTTATTTGCAGACCGTGGTATTAAGCTGCAATTGGTTTTTCCATAACTTTCTTTTTATTCTTTAGCAACAATTTACGTACTTGATTCATTAATTAAAATTGGTTGATGTATTAAAGTTAAAAAACTTTTTTGAAGTCTAATATACGCCACAATTTCAATTTACTTTTAACGAAGCCGACATTCTTGCTCTTGATGTTGGATTAAAACTTTCTAAGAAAATTGCAACACGTCATGTTTTCATTACTTAGACTTTTATTTTTTTTTAATTTTTTTTTTTTTTAAAGAAAAGTCGTGAGAAAGTATATATCTCGGAATATTATTCACAAACTAAAACTATAGAACATAGAAGCATTTTTTATTCATAACAGTTATACTATTGTCTGAACGTAATATATGCGCAATAGATTATTCATTAACGCGCATAATTTATTCATAATTCATTCATAATTCAATCGCACGAATAAAACTCGATAAATGGCTCGATATTACATCGCGGCGCGATAGCAACGGCCAGATGCAATATAAGATGTCAACGAATCGCGCGCGACATTGACCTTACGAAATACAAAAGCTTTTGTGCGGGTCCGGGATACATGTGTTACGGATATAAATTTGAATGCAGTATCGGAGAGGGTCTTTAAATATAGCCGCGTATGCGAAGCGCGTACGATTTGATTTGAAATTCGGAATAATGGCGGACTGTATAAATAAACGTCTGATTGGATTATCTCGGTTCATAATAGCTCTGCTCGAGCGTATGAAGTTAATGATCGTATGGGCATTTGGAAATAGACGATACCTCTATCGACGGATACATATTTGATTAAATCAACATGAATTTCTTTGTAACATTTTTGAGAGATATGCAGTCGTGAAATTTACATTAAGATATTTGACGGATAATTATGAAGTTTATTCGAATGTGATTTATATGTTGAATACTGTTTTGGAGATGTTGATAGAAATGATGTGATCTATTAAAAATATTATATGAAAATATTGAATATAACATTTCTAAGATTATTTTTATTAAATATTGTAGTAATATTTGACATAATTAATATTGAATTTCCTAGTTTAAATAATAGTAGATTAATAGATGCGTTTCAGTAAATAAATCAGTTAAACTCGGTTAAACTGTACTGTCGAAAAATATTTCGCGAACGTTATTTTATTTTACTGAAATTAAATTTTAATAAATAAATTGTAGAATCATTAAATTTATATCTGCAAATGCATATATGTACTTTTTACGTTGCCTACGTTGAGAGTTGTATGCGTGTGAATACGTGTTTGTGTGTCTGTGCGTTTAGCAATTTGTTATATAGAACGTAGAAATAAATTTTCACACGCTTTGACTTTGGCAATAACATACATGATGATATGCGACAGTCTGCTGGATTTAGATTAATGAAGTAGTTATTTCAAGAATCTCAATTCCGATTCTACTCGGAATTCGTAACGTGATCTCGACATATGTTTCTGTCTAGCAAACTGGTAAAATTGAATACAGATATAAAAAATGTCGCAGCGTGTTATATCTCTTTAACGAGTTAATAATACAATCTGGTTAAAGAGAAAATGTAGCAAAATAGCATGAACAAGTAAATATGGTAAAATAATATGAACTAATAAGGAAAATTTAGACAGGAGAAATTTTAACAAAAATCCTAGGGCATTCAACATTGATTCGAAAATGTCTTAACGATTAATCGCAATACATTTACAGTATTATTTCACCATGATGTAAAATGATGGCTTTTATTGTTTTAATTACACATTTTCGTACAAATTGAGATAAATTGTTCTGTATCGCGATATGATATTTTAATTACTCGGAAAACATGCCACGGTGCAGATTACATTAATTCGTATTTCATTGTTATCATGGCTTCGTTTATTTTCGGTGCTGAAGAGAAGTGAACGGTGAAGCGTACGCGTACCCCATAAAAAGTGTTGAATGCCATGCCGGGGAACAATAAAATTGTCTGGTGACGAAGTGTGCTATAAAACCAGCATTGCCCAAATCTTTTTCGATACGTAAAAAACATGACATTTTTATAGCGAACCATTGAAGCTTTAAAAACCTATTCCGTTTTTTGGAGGACAAGCATCATGTGCTTTCATTAAAATAAAACCAGATTGCTGTAGAATTTAAAAAATAATCTAAAACAAATTTCATTAAGCTCTTTTTTATAAATAGATATTTTAAGAGGATTATTGTACCGGAAATTTTTACATTCTACATATAATTTGTATTTTGTTAAAAGCAGGAAACAGTACACGAGTGAATATCTGTTTATAGAAAATTTCGATGTGAAATCGCGTCCCACAGTTTAG